GGAATTCCAGTATATTGAATTAAAACCTCTGTTTAAAATTGCGCAACAAGAGGCGCACCTTGAGGCGCGCCTCTGCGCAATTCTTCCCAAAGGCGCCTCGAGGCGCACGCAATTTGGACCCTGGTAGAGGCGTACGCCTTACCTTGTGTGAGGTGCGCCTCAATTGCGCAATTATGGATGAGGCGTACGCCTCATCCAAATGGCCCCACCTACTTAAAATGAGCATTTTTTTCCCTTAAACCCGTTCGGCTCCAGGCATATCCCGATAGTTCTCTGCCCGCAAGCCCCAGTTCGCGAAACCGAGAGCCTCCCGCACGGTCGGCCTCCCTTCCCGCCGCCTCTCCCGCCGGCGCCGCCTCTCTCCGGCGAACTTGAAGTGTCCGACCGCCTTCTAGGAGAAGTCCACAATCGATTTTAGGTATTTTTTTTTTAGTTTTTGGTTAGATTTTTCAAGTGAAAGAAATTCTAGGGTTTTTTATTTTTTGAATTATTTTGTGTGATTTTGGATTCTTTCATTAGGGATCATCGTTAGAGGCAAGGAAAATGGGTCTACGTCATTGCGGAGGGACCCTTCTTGGAAGTATAGTGTACAAGTTGACATAGGCGGCGGAGAGAAGTGCTATGTTTATTTGAAATGCAATTTTTGTGAAAAAGTGGTGAAGGGAGGTGTTACCCGTATGAAGGAACACTTATCATGCTTGCATAAAAACGTAGCACCGTGTGCAAATGTGCCGGAAAAGGTGAAGGATGAAATTATTGTTTATATGAAGAAAAGTACAATGGCAAAACACTTGCAACAAGAGCAATTTGATGATAGGGTCGAACATGGTGCTTACTTCGGGAGCGAGAGTGGAAAGTGCTTTTCCTCTACCATACATAACAGAGGTGCACGGGGTCCTATGGATCAGTATATGACTAATCCAGAAGAGGATAGAGGACAAGCACAAATGATGCCTGCAGCTGGTACTAGAGTCCTTTTGGTAAATGCAAGATACTTTATTCAG